AATGTGGAGAACTGACTAGTTCTTATCCAGAGGTTATCCTTTAAGGATCATAGATAAAGCCAGAATTAGGGCCTCAAGTGTCCCTAGAAATAGTTTCTTAACTAAAAAGATTAGAGCAGCACATACTGGTCTAAACTGGGCGTTGAATTATTCAATGCTAGCGATGCCCATAAAGAGAGCTGTGCAGGATTTATGGAAACTGGTTGAAGATATAACAGGATGTACTAATCCTCCCACTATAGGTTTTCGTAGGACTAAAAGCATTCAGGATTATGTGGTACAATCTGACTTTAAGAAAAAACAACGTGGCAATACCCTTCCACCTGGACATTTTTCCTGTGGGTGATGCAAAATATGTCATATGGCCTCGGAAGGGAATTATGTCTCTTTACCTGGACATTAACCCATTAATCTTTCTTTTTTTATCCACCTGTACAACACCTTTTGTTGTGGATGTTATGTTATGTGGTTGTTCTCAAATTTATGTGGGGAAAACAGTCCGGCCGATTAAAGTGCGCATTTTAGAGCATATTTCACGTAAAAGACACAATACCTCAGAAGCGGCTCTAACAGAGCACTTTGTCCCCAATAATCATCGGTGTGATGATTTTCACTACACGGTTTTGTTTGTAGCAAACAAAAGCAGGAAGCTAAGTGGATACTCCAGTTAAACTCACTCTCTCCTCATTGACTAAATTCAGAGCTAGATTTGTTTTCTTTAAAGTGTATAAGCTTAGTGATTATTTATTACACAAGGACAAGTTTGTTGTTGTAAACGTTCTCTTTAAATGTGAGATCTCTGTTTTGCTACCTGTTAGTAATTAAGATAGCGTTGCTATGTAAAGGCAGTAACTAGTTTGGATAACATGAACACTGAAAGAATTTGTCTTAATGAAGTAGTAAGAATGTTCAGATCATGAGCTACTCATTGCAAAATTCAGACTTAAACTGAAGAAAGTTGGGAAAACCACGAGGCCATTCAGGTTTGACCTAGATCGCATCCCTGATGAATATACAGTAGAGGTGAAGAATAGATTCAAGGGTCTGGATTTGATAGAGTGCCTGAAGAACTATGGACGGAGGTTCGTGACATTGTACAGGAGGCAGCAATCACCACCATCCCAAAGAAAAAGAAATGCAAGAAAGCAAAGTGGCTTTCTGATGAGGCTTTACAAATAGAGGAAAGAAGGAAAGGCAAAGGCGAAAAGGAAAGATTTACCCAACTGAATGCAGATTTCCAGAGAACAGCAAGGAGAGATAAGGAGGCCTTCCTGAATGAACAGTGCAAAGTAACAGAAGAAAACAATAGAATGGGAAGGACTAGAGATCTCTTCAAGAAAATTGGAGAAATCAAGGGAGTGTTCCATGCCAAGCTGGCCATGATAAAGGACAAAAAACGGTAGGGACCTAACAGAAGCAGAAGAGATTAGGAAAAGATGGCAAGAATACACAGAAGAACTATACAAGAAAGACCTCGATGTCCTTGACAACCACGACGGTATAATCACTGACCTCGAGCCAGACATCCTGGAATGTGAAGTTAAATGGGCCTTAGAAAGCATTACTAACAACAAAGCTAGTGGAGGTGATGGTATTCCAGCTGAGCTATTCAAAGTCTTAGAAGATGATGCTGTTAAAGTTCTGCACTCCATTTGCCAGCAAATTTGGAAAACGCAACAGTGGCCACAGGATTGGAAAAGGTCAGTATACATTCCAATCCCAAAGAAGGGCAATGCCAAGGAATGTTCAAACTATCGCACAATTGCACTCATATCACACGCTAGCAAGGTCATGCTCAAGATCCTACAAGCTAGGCTTCAACAGTACATGGATAGAGAACTGCCAGAAGTACAAGCTGGGTTTCGAAGAGGTAGAGGAACTAGAGATCAAATTGCCAACATTCGCTGGATTATGGAGAAAGCAAGAGAGTACCAGAAAAATATCTACTTCTGCTTCATTGACTATGCTAAAGCTTTTGACTGTGTGGATCACAACAAACTATGGCAGGTCCTTAAAGAGATGGGAGTACCAGACCACCTCACATGTCTCTTGAGAAACCTGTATAAGGGCCAAGAAGCGACAGTTAGAACCGGATATGGAACAACTGATTGGTTCAGCATAGGAAAAGGAGTACGACAAGGATGTATATTGTCACCTTGCTTATTTAATATATATGCAGAGTACATCATGCGAAATGCTGGCCTGGATGAATCACAAGCGGGAATTAAGATTGCTGGGGAAAAGATCAACAACCTCAGATATGCAGATGATACCACTCTAATGGCTGAAAGTGAAAAGGATCTAAAGAGCCTCTTGCTCAGAGTAAAAGAGGAGAGCGCAAAAGTGGGCTTGAAGCTCAACATCAAAAAAACTAAGATCATGGCATCCGGCCCCATCACTCCTTGGCAAATAGAAGGGGAAGTCGTGGAAGTAGTGACAGACTTCACGTTCCTGGGATCCCAGATCACCGCAGACTGTGACTGCAGCCATGAAATTAAAAGACGCCTGCTCCTTGGGAGGAAAGCGATGGCGAACCTAAACAGCATGATAAAAAGTAGAGACATCACCCTGCCAACAAAAGTCCGCATGGTCAAAGCAATGGTATTCCCAGTAGTCATGTATGGCTGCGAGAGCTGGACTATAAGGAAGGCCGAGCGCCGAAGAATAGATTCTTTTGAACTATGGTGCTGGAGAAGGGAGCAAGTCCATGGGGTCGCGAAGAGTCGGACTCGACTGTGCGACTGAACAACAACAAAGAATGTTACGTGTTAACTCACGGATTAGTACTGTGTAAGTATTAACATTACTGTAGGCATCATAGAGCTTTTATGCAAGAATGAGTGTTAATACAAATTGGCAATTTTACTGTTTACTGTTTTCCTCTCTTTCTAGCGATTTGTAAACAAGTGTCATTCACACAGCACATTCTGAAAAAGCTGTTATGTGAAATTGACTATATGCATTTTCCATCGTGTATGTGTATGCTTTCATAATGTGATGAAGAAATATATTCACTGACGAACTGAAGCCTAAATATATTTTCATAATACAACATCATGGTTTTTTATCAGTTGCTGTAGATTTTCCAGGTTGTGTGGCCGTGGTCTTGGCACTGTAGAACCTGACGTTTCACCAGGATCAGTACTTGGTCCACTGCTTTTTAACTTGTTCATTAATGATTTGGAGATGGGAGTAAGCAGTGAAGTGGCTAAATTTGCGGATGATACAAAGTTGTTCAGGGTGGTGAAAACCAGTGAGGATTGTGAGGCACTCCAAGGGGATCTGTCAAGGATGGGCGAGTGGGCGTCAACATGGCAAATGGGGTTCAATGTGGCCAAGTGCAAGGTGATGCACATTGGAGCCAAAAATCCTAACTATAAATACACGTTGATGGGGTCTGAACTGGCAGAGACTGATCAAGAGAGAGATCTTGGAGTTGTAGTGGATAACTCACTGAAAATGTCGAGACAGTGTGTGACTGCAATAAAGAAGGCCAATGCTATGCTGGGGATTATTAGGAAGGGTATTGTAAACAGATCAGCCAATATCATAATGCCGCTATATAAATCAATGGTGCGACCTCATTTGGAATACTGTGTGCAGTTCTGGTCACCACACCTTAAAAAGGATATTATAGCTTTGGGAAAAGTGCAGAAAAGGGCAACTCGAATGATAAAAGGGTTGGAACACTTTCCCTATGAGGAACGGTTAAGGCGCTTAGGGCTCTTTAGCTTGGAGAAACGACGACTGAGGGGTGACATGATTGAGGTTTATAAGATTATGCATGGGAAAGAGCAGGTAGAGAAAGAGGTACTTTTCTCCCTTTCTCACAATACAAGAACTCCTTGTGGGCACTCCATGAAATTGCTGAGCGGTTGGGTTAGAACGGATAAAAGGAAGTACTTCTTCACCCAAAGAGTGATTAACACATGCAATTCACTGCCACAGGATTTGGTGGCAGCTACAAGCATGGACGGCTTCAAGAGGGAATTAGATAAGCATATGGAGCAGAGGTCCATCAGTGGCTATTAGCCACAAGGTATAGATAGGGGCTCTGGGGCAAGTGATGCTCTGTCTTCTTGGTGCTTGGGGGGGGGGTGTCAACAGTGGGAGGACTTCTAATGTCCTGGCCCCACTTGTGGATCTCCTGAGGGCACCTGGTATTTCTGGCCACTGTGGGACACAGAGTGTTGGACTGGATGGGCCTTTGGCCTGATCCAACATTGGCATCTCTTATGTTCTTAAATTACTTGCCTACCATTTTTCTTCTCACCTTGACACAGAGAATCCTCCGTCACCGAGGGTTGCCAGCCTCCAGGTGGCAGTCAATAACAAAAACCATGATATGCTGCCGAAGACTTTCACGGCCAGAGTTCATTAGCTGCTGTAGATTTTCCGAGTTGTGTGGGTGTGGTATTGGCCTTGTAGGACCTGAGGTTTCGCCAGCAACTGTAACTGGCATCCTCAGAGGTATAACACAGAAAGATCTGTGTCAAGGTGAGAAAAAAATGAAAAGAAAAGAACCTCCTCAGGAAAACTCCTCCATTAGCATGTTCATAGCCTGGGGAACTCCTGCAAAATAATGACTCAGCCCTACCCCACCTTCTGGAGTAGATATAAATTACTTGCCTACCATTTTTCTTCTCACCTTGACACAGAGAGTCCTCCGTCTTTCTGTGTTATACCTCTGAGGATGCCAGTCACAGCTGCTGGTGAAACGTCAGGTCCTACAAGGCCAAGACCACGGCCACACAACTCGGAAAATCTACAGCAGCTAATGAACTCCGGCCGTGATTCGGCAGCATATCATGGTTTTTGTTATTGACTGCCACCTGGAGGCTGCCAACCCTCGGCGACACGTCACCTTCTGGTGCTTCCCTACATGGATTTTAAAAAGCATTAATAGCCTTGGCCTCTCCCCTCCCCCCTCCGCGATATTTTTCTTAGTATGTTAGCCCCCCCCCCTTTTAAAACAACCACGGCGGCGGGCCGACACTTACTCCCAGCAGGGGCCCTCTTCCTATGACTGTCTCGCCGGGCGGCAGTGCCAAAGCGTTCCCCCCATCCACCGGCGCCACTTTAAACCCTGACATGATCGCCGGCCCACCCGCCAAAGGGTTTCGCATGGGGGACACAAAACAACAACGTACCGCTGTTCCGTCGCTCTCTCTCTTCCCCCCCCCCAACCGGCCGGACCACGAAGCAAAGTTCCGCCCTGATTCAGGTCCCACGCTTTTTAAAGCGTCGTCCAATCAGCCGCGGAGCCTGCGACGTCCCCGCGCGGGTCCTAAACTACAGCCCCCAGAATGCCCCTCGGGGCTCCGCGGTGACGTGCTGGGCGGGGTTCGGAAAGAAGTAAACAAACGCGTCCGGATGGGAAAAGACGTTAACGGCCGCGGAACGTTCAGGTGAGTGACAGGGCAAGGGCAAGGGGGGCGTCACTCAGGCGGCCAATCCCGAAGCGGGGCCCTCCGGAGGGCTCTGGAGGGGCGTATGCGGAGGGATGTCCCGCGGCTCCCATTGGCCACCGCCGACGCTAGTCAGAGGGTTCGCCGCAGAAGCCCTGATTAACCCCGAATTCCCCTCAGTTCTGAAGGGCGAGAGACGCGCGTGCGAAAGGCGCACGTGTGAAGGGCACTAATTCGCGTGCAACAGGCTTAAGACAAAATAATTATCTAGTTTCTCAGGATCCTGGGGAAATTGTGACTGCCTTCTCTTAGTTCCTCAGGTGCACGCAGAATCCCTCCTCCCACACCCAGGTGGACTGATTCTGACGGCCTTTTAAAAGGTGTGTTAAGAAATAGGCGCTATTCTCACCTTACCTGTGGGCAGGCGCCCAGGCCAATACAGGATAGTCAAGAACAAGATGGGGACCATCCCTTTTGCTTCATGGAAGGAGAAGGAGACCCATTGCTGGCAGTGTTCCCTCTAAGCTGAGTTAGTGTGAGCGAGCTCCCAGTTCTTTAGCCTCCAGCTCACACATTTTTGTCTCCGCTCAGGAAGGAGGGCTCCAGAGCAAACTGACTTATGCAGTAGCCAAATCGCTGGCTCACAACTTGAATGCTAGTAGCTCTCAAAGTAGAAATTCTGCTCACAAGACTCTACCACTTAGAGGGAACATTGATTGCTGGTTGGGGTGTTTTCATGGGGCTATATTTGTGTGACCCTTTTTTCCCTGCCTCCTTTAAACCAGCCCAAATAAATCAATACATAATTATTAATAGCGAAATTGAGAGATCCTTTGAGGAAACCCCTTGGTTTCACAGGCCAGTTCTACCTTGTGCCCTTAATAGGATCCCAAACCCTAATTTTTCCCACCTTGTGGGGGATACGAAGTGTCTGCCTGTGCCGGCAACAAATGTATCAATAATAATAATAGTAATAATAGGTAAAGGTTTTCCTTGCTCAAAAGCCAGTGGATTGCGGTGCTCATTTCCGTTTCCAAGCCGAAGAGCCAGCGCTGTCCGAAGACAATTCCGTGGTCATGTAGACGGCATGACTAGATGCTAATCATAAATTTCCAATTAATAAATACATTGGGGATCATTTGAGGCCCCTTTGCTTCACACCCCACTTGTACCTTGTTTCCTTAACAAGATCCCAAACTATAATTTTTTTCACCTTGCAGAAGATACTAAGTGTCCACCTTTGCTGGCAACAGATGTAGCCACACCTTGACAAGGGCTGGAATAAATTTTTTACTTACCAAGCCACTTTTCCCTGAACTATTTGCAGTGAGCTCCAAAACGGTGCAGTGAGCACCATGGTGGCTGGTGGTGCATTCATAGGGCTGCCAACCTCCAGGTGTGGCCTGGAGATCCCCCCCCACAAATTACCATTCATCTCTGGGCTACGGAGATCAATGCCCCTAGAGAAAATGGCCGCTTTGGAGGGTGGACTCTGTGGCGTTGTGGCCAATGCTCCCTCTAAACTGTGGAGTCTTGTGAGCAAATATTCTACTTTGTGAGCGACTGGCATTAAAGCTGTGAGTGAGCGATTTGGCTACTGCATAAATTAGTTTGCTCTGGAGCCATCCCTTCCGGAGCGAAGACAAACATGTGTGAGCTGGAGGCTAAAAAACTGTGAGCTAGCTCACACTAACTCATCTTAGAAGGAACACTGGTTGTGACCAACTGAGGTTTGACAGCCCGTTTGGTGTACTGGTTAAGAGCGGCAGACTCTAATCTGGGAGAACAGGGTTTGATTCTCCACTCCTCCACATGCGGCTGCTGGTGTGACCCTGGGTCAGTCACAAGTTCTCTCAGAGCTGTTCTCTCAAGAGCAATCCTTGAAAGAGCTCTCGCAGCCCCACCTACCTCACAGGGTGCCTGTTGTGGGGAAAGGAAGGGAAGGGGATTGTAAATTACTCTGAGTGAAGGGTGGGGTATAAATCCAACTCTTCTCCCCCCACAAAGCCCTGCCCTCTCCAGTTCCACTCCCAAGTCTCCAGGAATTTATGCTCACCATGCACCATTTCTGATGCTCTCTTTTTCTCCTTTTACGGGGTTATGAGTTCCATCTCCCTCACACCAGACCCAGCTTTGAAACGGAAAGCTGAACGTAAGAGAAGCCAATGTTGGATCAGGCCAAGGGCCCATCCAGTCCAACACTCACACAGGGCTTCTTGCTAACTGTGTCAGCCGGAACGTTAAAAATGACACACTTGCTTACTATATCAAGTTTTCCCTTTGCTGGCCAGCTCAGCACCACCCAGAGACTTATTTATTACTTCCTTCCCTTGAAATTCATACCGGAATGATTGACATATCCTATCAAGCATGTGCGAAAATTAAAAACCGTCAGGCCTGCCGATCATCCCGTATTTAGTGATCTGACCAGGAAGCCAACGTTCTGTTCCCAGCAGCGGTGATCGAAAAGCCAGGGAATCTAAGAACAGGCCATATTTTGTCCTCAACCACCAAGTTTCAAGCTTCCACTCAAATTCTGTCCAGGCTGGCCGAGGCCTTGACCTGCCTAAAGTCTCTGTTCTCCTGCTGAGTCACCAGTTTTGTATGCCTGGTTTTCCCCTTGACGTTCTCCTTTGGGGGGGGGGTGTGATTGCAGCGTTCCCTCTAAGCTGAGTTAGTGTGAGCTAGCTCACAGGTTTTTTAGCCTCCGGCTCACACATTTTTGTCTGAGCTCAGGAAGGATGGCTCCAGAGCAAACTCATTTGTGAAGGAGCCAAATGGCTCACTCACAACTTTCATTCCAGTAGCTCAGGGGCACGGCGTGGCGACGGGCGTGGCTCGGGTTGCTCCGAGACGCCCGACTCTTTTTCACGTTTTACGGGGCCTCCCGGAGTTCGGGAGAGCCCCGACAGTTCTCTTGGGGGGAGAACTGGAGCAGGGGGTTCTGTTGCGGGGGCCCCCCCCATGACTGGCAACGCGGGGGGGGTGTCCGCTTCCTACCCCGAAGCGAGCGTGGATTTTGAGAGAGAACGTGGTCGCCATGTTCTCTATAGCTGCTTCCTTCCGTTTGTTTTTATTTAAATTCGTATGGGATTACAATGGCAAATACAGCAACGAAGAAAAGGTGACTTATAGCAAGTGCATGCATCTTTAAGTTGATAACGTGGAAACCCCGAACTGTTTGGCGCAAAAGGAAAAGAAAGCGGCCAGAAAAGAGAAAGAGCTAAGTACATTGTTTTGGCGTTCTTCCGGGGAAAAAGGTGTTGTTTTCTCAGGGCAGGACTATTGATATTGAGATTTTTGTGACTTTAACTGCTTGAAAATGACGTTCGTAAGGGGAGATGAGGTAGAGAATGAAATGGATGGGGACATGTGGATTGGAGAAATAACGGTGGGGCAGTTTCTGGAGGCTTTAAAAGAAGGAATTCAAGAGGGTATTAAAGAGGGCATTAAAGCAGCATTTGCAAGTCTCCATGAATCTCCTTTGTTGGTGGAGAGCTATGAGACTATTGAAAAAGGTACCCAGAGTTCAGAGAGTATGGAGCAGATGGCGGAGGTGGAGCAAGAAACGGCGGCTATGGACGGGTGGAGCAAGAAAAGGCGGATATGGAACCCCTAAATATATTGGAACCAAGGCAAAATAAGGAAATAAACTTTCATTCCAGTAGCTCACAAAGTAGAATTTTTGCTCACCAGACTCCACAGCTTAGAGGGTGCATTGGGTAATTGTACATAATTATATATTTCTTATTTATACCCTGCTTTTCCCACCGGTAAAGCCCAAAGCCGCTTTCAACATCATTCACACTTCCTTTGCTTTACCCTCAGAACGACAGCCCTGTGAGGCAAGTTAGGCTGAGAGAGAGTTACAGACCCAAAGCGAGAAGGAGGGCCCAAGCGAGTGTCCATTGCCGAGGGAGAGTTCGAAGCCCGTTCTCCCAGATCTTAGTCCAACCCTCTAACCGTTACACCTTGCTGCTAATAATCATTGTCGTATGGCGGTGTGTGTAGTAGAGCCAGGTGATCCTAAGATTGTCTGGCAACCGGAGGGTCTAGCTCTTTTAGCATTATGCACCACTAGGTGGCGAGCTAAACGTGTTTGTTTTCTTTTAAGGCAAGAGATGTTTCAGAGGTGGTTTGCCCATCACCTGCCTCTGCTTCGCAACCCTTGGACGGCACCAGTGTTCCCTCTAAGCTGAGTGAATGTGAGCGAGCTCCCAGTTTTTTAGCCTCCGGCTCACACATTTTTGTCTTCGCTCAGGAAGGAGGGCTCCAGAGCAAACTAATTTATGCAGGAGCCGAATCGCTCCCTCACAACTTGAATGCCAGTAGCTCACAAAGTAGAATCTTTGCTCACAAGACTCCACCGCTTAGAGGGAGCACTGGAGGTCGCCCTTCCAGATACTAGCTAGGGCCGACCCTGTGTAGATTCCGAGATCTGACAAGACTGTCTATGTGGTATAGTGGTTAGAGTCTGGGATCCTCACTCTTCCATAGAGAACGGCTGGGGTGACCTTGGGCCAGTCACACAGCCTCAGGCTAACCTACCTCACAGGGCTGTTGTGAGGATAAAATGAAGACCGGACAATGTAAACCTATCTACCTGTGTTATAAGCTGCCTTGAGTTCTGTAAAGATGAAAGGCCACTAGTAAATGTTTTAAATCAATCAATCAATATTTCTACATCAGTGTTACTTTTTTTAGAAAGAGCAAAGTCTAAACTATGCGGAAAGGCTCCAAGGAGACAGCTCCCCAATGCGATAAGCCCCCCGTTGCCGCTTGCAAGAAGTTCCCCATCCTGTCTGAGCAGAACAAAAAAGCCAGCCCAAAGGATTTTGTGCAGTTCCTCCCACTCGAAATCTGCCTGAAGATCTTTAGCCAACTGGACATTCAGAGCTTGTGCAATGCTGCCATGACTTGCCAAAGCTGGAACCGCACCCTGGAGTCTTGTGATCACTTGTGGAAGCAACACTGCTTAATTGTGAGGGTTGTCTGTCAGCGAGAGATTGACGGGGACAGAGGCAATGGGTATTCGTGGAAGGTAAGCTCAGGCCAGACTGGTTGTGAAGAGACTAACAGTGTGATCCAAAGTGGAGCAGAACCTTCCGAGTTAATGGACTCCAGGGGTTTTTAGAAGGTTGTAGCTCTGTGGCTGAGAGGTTAAGACACTGAGTTGCAGACCGGAAGGCCGGTAGCTGGGCAGTTTCAGACCCTCGTGCCGCATGATGGAGGGAGATCCCGTCTCTGGCCCCAGCTCCCTCCAACCTAGCAATACGAAAGCAAGAAATTGCAAGTAGATAAATACAAGAAAGAAGACCCGTGAAACTCGCGGGGGGGGGGAGCTCCAAATTGAGCTGGCGGAGGAGGAACCAGCAGGAGCAGGTAAGCTCCCCCCCCATCCTGCCGGTTCCTCCATGTCCTCCACCACCACCCCCGCTCGATCCCCCACCGCTCGAAAGTGAGGCCCGCGCGGCTTGTAGCCGCCGGACCTCACTGCTACCCCCCCAGCGAGGGCCAGCGGTTTGCAGCCGCCCGGGACTCCCACCTGCCTGCCCCCGCCCTCGCGCCCTCACCCCGGCCAGCTGGCTCCGAGGTGGCGGCGGCGAGGCCGGCTGCAGAGCGTCCCCTGCGCATGCACAGAGGACGCTCTGTCACTTTTGGGGGGATTTAAGTATCCCCCCGATTGTTTTTTTAAGTTTTTAGATTTTTGTGCACACCTGGGGACCGCCCCACGTGTGCACAAAACTCTCCCTCCCCCCCAAGTGCCCCCGAAGTGCGGATTTAGATATCCGCACAGAGGGGGGCCACTTCACTATTAGATATATAGATTGATAATGATATTTATTTGTCCAATGATATCTGTTTGCGAATGATATTTAGCTTCCCCAGCCGCCCTGCTGGGAGCCACACAACATGGGCGAAAGAGCCGCATGTGGCTCCTGTGCCAGTTTGGCCAGACCGGGTCTAGAATCTGTGAGACCCAGGGTCTGCTGTGGAAGCTTGCGGAGTGTCTTTGGGCCAGTCACAAGCTCTCAGACACTCCCCGCACAAACGGGTCTCGTCGCTCTTTCATTCATATTCCTCCGCCGCTTTCACTCGTTTCCACAGAGGTATTTGCAGTCCAAGGAGCACAAATGCAGTTTGCTCCCTCTGGTGGCGCCAACTAGGAATACAAAAACAACAAAGGGCAACGGAGTGAGAGAGCTGCTGTAACCAAAAACACTAAACTCCAAAAGTGGGCTGCACCTCTGAGGCTCCCAAATCCTATATAATAAGAATATAAAAGTTCCACCAAGAAGAATTCACAAATATTGCTCTATTGAAAACAGTACAGCACTGTAATCAAATACAAAGTCAGTACAAATGAACTCACAAAATCTACAAACGTGCAGTTGCCAAATGACCTAATAGGATGTAATTCAGCAAAATCAAGCTAACCAATAGCGGAGACAGCCTATAAAATGAGGAACACTAACACTCAAAGATGACAAAAACAGCGAGGAACGATTACATTTAGAGATAACAGTCACAGCGATACAAGTTCCAGGTATAGTTTCCTCGTTTCCATAAGAGTTCTTCTTCAGTCACTGTGAAACAATTCCCAAGGGAATTCCCGGAAACAGGGAAGCCTGATGCCACGCCGCAAGAGAGGACAAACTGTGTTTTTGCACCTCGGACTGCAAATACCTCTGCGGAAACGAGTGAAAGAGGCAAAGGAATACGAATGCAGGAGTGGGGAGAGCGGTTTGTGTAGAAAACGTCTCAGCCTAACCTACCTCACAGGGTCATTGTGAGGATATAATGGAGAAGGGGAGGCTGTTGTATGCCACTTTGGTACCCCAGTGAGCAGAGCAGTGAAGTAATAAATGAAGTTAAAGAAAAATGATGTATGTCAGTATCAGTGTTCCCCCTAAGCTGAGTTAGTGTGAGCTAGCTCACAGTTTTTTAGTCTCCAGCTCACACATTTTTGACTTAGCTCCGGAAGGATAGCTCCAGAGCAGACTGACTTATGCAGTAACCAAATCGCTCGCTCACCACTTTAATAGCCACTCACTCACAAAGTAGAACTTTCGCTCACAACAAGACTCCCAGAGCTTAGAGGGAGCATTAGTCAGTATTATTTGAGTGGCCCTTTTAATTTGGTCTCCCCTCTTCTTATTCTCCCCCCCCCCCCATCCCGGCTCCCCGTTTTATTTTATTTTATTATCAGGTCACGCTGCTGAGAAACTACCGGAAAAGCAAAGTGAAACACGACTGGCTGAGCGGGAAATATAGCAACATACATTCCCGCAGTAGCTTGCCAGAGAAGAGCATGTACCCCATGGATGTGGACACTTGGGGAGAAATCCTAGAGGCAGAACTGGAACGATAAGAAGGCCAACTCGGGAAAAATAGTGGAACTGATTAGTACAGATGTTGAGTTGCATACCGTATTGAACATCCATTCAGGGCCCGGTGGAAGATGACTACTCTATGGATTTTTGACATTTAGCACTTTTAGAACTTCTCTCCCCCCCCCCCATTTTTCGTTGGAGAGGTTTTTGATGCTGGGTTTATATTGTTAGCTTACTGTTGAAGGGACTCGCTTCTTGGACTCGCTCGAAATGCACTTTGAAACAATGACTAATATTTTTAAATGCTTCTCGGTGCGTGTTCTTCTTGACCTTCGGTAAGATTAAGCCATGAGAGGAAGGGGAAAGATTGCAACATTAGAAAAAGTCAGCAAAAGTACTTTGGGGTAGAACTGGGGTTGTGGAGTGCAGACGTATTTCACCATCTGTTTCTAGGGAGGATTGCTTCGTACCTTCCGGATTTATTTATCTATTTTTGCCATCAAGTTGCAGCTGACATATGGTGGTGACCCTGCGGGGTATTTTAGGCGAGATAGGTCCAGAGGTGGTTTGCCATTGCCTGCCTCAGTGGACCAACCCTGGGCTTCCTTGGTGGTCTCCCATCCAAATATTGACCAGGGCCAGCTCTATCCGAGATCTGATGAGATCTGGTTGAGATCTAATGAGATCAGGTTAGCCTTCCAGGTCTGCGCATCTACCAGACATACATGTCATATTTTCATATCATCAACCAACAGTACAGCACGCAGCCGGAAATAGCAAAGACCAACAGAAGACAACGGTGAGCTGAATTACCCGCAAAAATATATATACAAAAGGAGACTTCAACAAAGTGAAATGCACATGTCATCAAGAATGAATCTATACATATAATCCAGAAGCCCACAGGATCCATGAAAGAAGTCTGAAACAAAGAATACTACCTAGGAAAAAGGTTGGATATCCAGGGCTCTTTTTGTAGAAAAAGCCCAGCAGGAACATAAGCATAATAGGCCACACCCAACAGCAGAAACTCATTAGCATATTAGGCCACACCCCTGATGGTACACTCATTAGCATATTAGGCCACACCCCCGTGTTACCAGAAGTGTGGTCATTCAGCCACACCCACCTTTTGCTGCTTATTCTGTTAACCTTGTTGTCAAAACCCAGGGGTTTTTTTGTAGCAGGAACTCCTTTGCATGTTAGGCCACACACCCCTAATGTAGCCAATTCCAATGAGTTTCTGCTGTTGGGTGTGGCCTGTTATGCTAATGAGCTCCTGCTGAGCATGGCCAACTCGAGAGCCAGCCGGAACTCCGTTCCTGTGCGTTCCTGCCCAAAAATAGCCCTGTGATATCTATTCTGGACTCTGCATTTTCCTTTCATGGATCCTGTGGGCTTCTGTATTTTCCTGTGATGGATTATATGTATAGATTCATTCTTGACTACATGTGCATTTCACTTTGTTGAAGTCTCCTTTTGTATATATTTTTGCGGGTAATTCATCTCATATTTTCATATCATGTCATAGAATCATAGAACCATAGAGTTGGAAGGGGCCACACAGGCCATCTAGTAGTCCAACCCCCTGCCCAATGCAGGACCAGCCTACAGCATCTCTGACAAATATTCATCCAGCCTCTTCTTGAAAGCTGTTAGTGAAGGGCAGCTCACCACCTCCCTCGGCAGCTGATTCCACCTTAGAGCCACTCTGGCCGTGAAAAAGTTTTTCCTGATATCCAGCCGAAACCTTTCTGCATGTCATTTAAACCCATTGCTTCATGTCCTAGCTATCTGGTCTTTTATTATGATCCAAGATCAGGCAGCATAAGGGTACAGTAAAGGTAAAGGCAAAGGTTCCCTTGCTTAAAAGCCAGTCGAGTCTGACTCTAGGGTTGCGGTACTCATCTCCGTTTCAAAGCCGAAGAGCCAGCGCTGTCCGAAGACGTTTCCGTGGTGATGTGGCCGGCATGACTAGACACCAAGGCGCACAGAACGCTGTTACCTTCCCACCGAAGCGGTACCTATTTATCTACTTGCAATTTCTTGCTTTCGAACGGCTAGGTTGGCAGGAGCTGGAACTAGGGAGCTCACTCCATCATGCGGCAACCCGGGTCTCGAACTGCTGAACTACTGACCTTCCACAGCCTGCAGTTCAGCATCTTAACCATTTAAGCCACCGCAGCTCCCAATAAGGGTACAAGCGAAACACAAATAAAACCTATAAAAACAATAAAAACTCTTAGCCCTAGTTGGCAACCCAGGGCAGGAATCAAGAATTCTCTAGAATTTGATTCAGGAGGCTGACAGTCACATAGGCCCAGTCTGCATCTAGCATTTGCTCTGCTGTCATGCCAAACCCACACTGGAACAGAAATCTACATGGCGTGCCACTTTCACTTAGACTGAGTGTCGCATTTTATGGCAATGTCCAAACCGCATGCCGCTTTCACTTTGTGTGATCTCTGGTGTTATGGTGGCTGTCTGCACAGATTAATGGGTGTTTTATGGCCATTGGGGGGGGTGACTCTGCAGTCAGTACGGTGTTGGCCCGGGGTAGTTGAATGTGGTTTTGAACCGCATCTTTTTCTGTTCCAGTGTGTTTGGTAAAAACAACTGAACAAATGCTAGAATGCAGATTAAAGGTAAAGGTTCCCTTGCTCGAAAGCCAGTCGAGTCCGACTCTAGGGTTGCGGTGCTCATCTCCGTTTCAAAGCCGAAGAGCCAGCGCTGTCCGAAGACGTTTCCGTGGTCATGTGGACGGCATGACTAAACACCAAGGCGCACAGAACGCTGTTACCTTCCCACCGAGGTGGTCCCTATTTATCTACTTGCAATTTCTTGCTTTCAACCTGCTAGGTTGGCAGGAGCTGGAACTAGAGACGGGAGCTCACTCTGTCATGCGGCAACTCGGGTCTCGAACTGCTGAACTACCGACCTTCCACAGTCTGCAGTTCAGCGTCTTAACCACTTGAGCCACCGCAGCTCCTAGAATGCAGATTGGGCCATAGTAATTTACAGTGGTAGCAGGCCAGACTAATAGCGAAAAATACTGTGTGAATTGCTTCCCCTGTGACCAAGTTAAAACCGTCGAGAATATGTTAGCACCTCTGTTTCCTGAAATTTGTGGGTTTTCAGTCACAGGCCTCAAACTGCATGATTCAGTGAAACAGCCTTCCAAGAATAATGTTCTCCGTCCCATACATTAATGGGCGGCAGACAGCATCATTTGCGTCTTCAAGGGTATTAGCAGGCAAAGTGCCTCCAGTCAAAGCCCATTAAGCCCTGACCTGGATGGTGCAGGGTGAGCCCAATCTCATCGGTCTCGGAAGCTAAGCAGGGTCAGCCCTGGTTAGTACTTGGATGGGAGACCACCAAGGAAGTCCAGGGTCGCTATGCAGAGGCAGGCAATGGCAAAACACCTCTCTCCATCTCTTGCCTAGACCAGGATGGCCCAGGCTAGCCTGATCTTCTCAGATCTTGGAAGCTAAGCCTAGGGTCTTATCTGGCGCATGTGACCGCAGCCTTAGAGTACTTCAGTCTTTCATACTCAAACATAAATCCATTCGTCTATTTTTACAATTACTTGACCGCATCCCGGAAGCTGTTCAGTTTCCGTAACGGGTCGGTGGAACGTACGTGGCTTTTTAAATACCCACATGGCTGTAGTTTAACGGGGAATCTTCTCTCTTGTGCCAGCAAGAATGTTGGTAGGATCCAACCCATTTTATCTCAGTATTATACAGATATCGGGACTTATAGCCAAGTCAGCAGTGACGTAGGACCATGGGAGCAGAGTGGGGGCCTATCTCACAGTTAGGCACTGTGACGACCCCTTTACTGGGGAGGTCTGGTTTCCCTTTAAAAGTGTACTTTATGTTTTTCTCTACTGGGTAATCCGGCTGCCACCAGGAAATTTAAGGCTTTCCAAACCTTTATAATATAATATTCATCACTGGGTAGGTGGATCAGGGTTTAAGCTTTCGAGGAACTATGTGGTCTAAGGAAGGATTCTTTCCAGAGCTGGTATACTTGAATGAAATAGGATTTATTTAAAGAAAGCATAAATACGAGGGTAGAACCATGTAACTAGTAAAGTAGGTATAACACACAGTCTGCTCCCTACTGACAGGGATTTTTCCTTAGGTAACTTTGTAACACTTTTCCCTTCATGTCCATATAATCTTTACTGTTTCCTAGACACTCAGCTTCAGCTTACAACTGTTTCAACACAGAACTGCTTGTCACTTTCTTTCAGACATAGCACTTAACTCTCATATCACACACAAGAAGGTCTCTCCTTCAGACCCCAGAACGAAACTCATCCCACACAGGGATGGGTCTCACTCCTCTCATACACAGAACTTCTGCTTCTCTCCAACTGTCTTCTTCAACTGTCATCTCTAACTGACCCCCTTGATAGACATTCAAATCCTCCACACAGCATCCATTCCAAAACCCCTCCCCCTCTCTGTCACTCACCAATCATATCACTTGCCTAATTCCAGCACTCTAGATTATCATCACAGCCATGCAAACCAAACTTTTAAAGCCACACACACACAGTTAAACATGAAATCATTACAGGCACCTATACCGCCTGACTCTGTGCAAGGAACGAACAGCTGAAAGGCTGTGGACACTGCGACAACAGGATTGCCAGTTTGGTGTAGTCGTTAAGAGCGGTGGACTCTAACATGGAGAACTGGGTTTCATTCCCCACTCCTCCACATGCGGCCAGCTGGGTGACCTTGGGTCAGTCACAAGTTCTCTCAGGGCTCTCTCAGCCCCACCGACCTCACAGGGTGTCCGTTGTGGGGAGAGGAAGGGGATGGTAAGCCGCTCTGAGTTTCCTTTGGGTAATGAAAACCGGGGTATAAAAACCCACTCTTGTTTTCTTGCCAACCCCCAGGTGGGGCCTGGAGGTCTCCCAGAGTTGTGATCGCCAACCTAGAGCTATCAGTTCCCCTGGAGAGAATGGCTGCTTTGGAGGGCAGACCTCTAGGGCACTGTACCCTGCTGAGGTCCCTCCCCTCCCCAAACCCCGCCCTCCCCACACTTTCCCACCCAAATCACTGGGAATTCCTCATCCCAGAATCAGCAACTCTACAGAATACTCACATCTGCTCTGCTCTCAGATATAGTCATGAAACGAGGCTCTCTGTGATTGGGCGGTCAGT